AGATTTTTTAATCTTCTGAAACAGAGTTTGTTAAAAATTATAAAACCTGAGATTAAAAAAACTCTTGTGGCCTTCAATTAGACGTCTTATCATTAACAATAGGTATTTTCATTTATATATTGACTGAATATATCAAATTAAACTCGAAATGAAAGGCATCACAGAGTCTGTCATATCTATTTTATATTTGGATGTTTTACTAACTAAAGAAGTTAATGGGAAACTGACAACTTATCAAAATAAAAAAAAAACGGGATGGCTTAATCTTTTCCATCTCAGCTTTTCCCATTTATATCGATATATTCCATTATTACCTTCATAAGATGTTAATGTCTCTTAACTAAATCGGAACGCAAGAGCATGTTCTGAAAGCAATAGTTTTTTTTAAAACCGAGGCAGGCTACTAGCAAATAAGTTGATGTTACAAAGCTTTCAACATAATAAAGTCAGCATTTCAGAAATTTTATAATGACCTTGTCTGCAAATACAACCTATCTGAAATGTATCATACCCATTGTTACTCTTGGTTTTTAAAAGTAATCAATTTTGACTACGGATTGATATATTAACCTGATCAATACAAAGGGCTCATGCAGGTGTGACCGGTCTACAGGGGATGTTTACTCCTTCTAGACATCTGATTCCAGATCTAGTGTTACCGGGAGTCCGTGTTTTTGCCCTGTTCATGTTGTTTTATTATTTATGAGATTGATTACTGTTCGTTATATTCACTTTTCTTCATTATGTAAGTAATGAAACATAATACTTATGCATATGTATCTGAAAGCCGTACACAGAGTACTCAGAAGTTGAAGATCTGCCCCTGAAAATTTAATTTTTGTTTGTTATATTGCACAACATTGTTTTTTGACAATTTTTTTTTTTCATTTTAAGTAATTGTTATGCTTTAAATAACCAGATTAAATTTCTGGTTGATACCCCCCCCCCCGATTTAATCTCTGTCTATTGAATCACAAAACTCATTTTCTGACTTCATAAGCATATTGGAATTGGTACTTGAGTGTGCTTCAAATTTTAAGAAAATTGCATATAAGAAATTGAGAAAATAAAATATAACAATCTGAAATTCATAGTAAAAATACTTTGATTAAATATAGAAAAAAAACTTTGATATTTTAGTAAAGTTAACTATAGTAAACTATAGTATTTTTATTAGGGTTGGTACACAAGGCTTCTTGCTTTGGTGGTGTCATAATCCTAATATCTTGTAAAAAAAAAATATATGGAATCTAGAAATTTGAAATAACTATAACGTAACAATTGAAAAAAAATAGTTTAAAAAAATCATTGATGATAGTTTTGGACTGTAACGCGTCAGATGACGATGAGAGGTAACAGTTATAAATAAACATCGAAATTATAATAAAATTTAGAAAACGTTTTTTAATCAGTTGTCGTCATTTGAAAACAATCACTTCTTGTGAAACAATCGTATTCTATAACTGCATTCCAGTAATAGAATGATACGTATTTCGACAGGTAAATATTTCACCGGAATCGTTGCAGTATGTGGTTTTCCTGTACAATCGACACCGGATGTAAAAATATGGAGTTTTAAACGTGTACAGACTACAGATTGACTAATTATAAGAATTATGTTATTCACTGACATCATTTAACATCTTAAATATTTTCTAATAATCAATAATTTCATTGATATGCATACATAATGTCATAAAATGCCTTTTGTTAAATAACTAAAGAAATCCATTGTCAACGATTGCTTTATTTAGATTTATTAAAGCAGATTCATTTTCATGAAAGGTTGGTAAAAAATACCCCGGATATTTGAGTTTCCTTTTATGTTTCAGAGAAGATTTGGAAAAAGTGCTTTCAAATGGCATATTTCATTATTACAAAGCACGTTAGATGAAGGTACAATAGGTACACTTGTTTCGTGTCTGAGGCTGCGATTAGGGTATTGCCTGTACTTTCCTTTAAGCTCGACATCTTGATTACCTCTTTTTTTCTTCACTGATTTTCCAGACAGGCAACTTAAGGTTGGGTTTATCAAAAAATTCACTCATGTCCCAAACATTTTATCAAAATCACTTGAATTTTCTATCTTTTAAATAAAAATTACAAAAATTCTAGTAAAATAACTGTTTGGTAACATTTTCCACTGCGGAAAAAAACTCAGACGCTCTGTTATTTCCGCTCTCCTGGCCTTTCCCATTTTGATCGATCCAACGGATGATAATAATAGCAAGTGTTATTTACATACACCTATCCTTAATATTTAAAAATTTCGAGTGTTCTGACATCTTAGTATCTATAATACATTTAAATACATAAATAGATGCAGCAACACCATATTTAATAATCAAGTGATCTACACTTAACACTTGCTTGAACGAGTTTATAATTCACTAATTATTTACTTATCTCGATCAGGACAAGTAAGAAAAATATTTATTGCTCACACTTTAAAACATCCTTTAACCCTTATTAGAAGACTGACAAAACTGCATGTTGTTTGTATGTGTAATTGAGTTGGAATAAATGTGTTTATTTCAAACATCTTTGATGATCATTCCATTTTTTTTAAATTAACACCAGCGTCCAGATTCCTGGTTTTGATCACTCAGCTGCTAAAATTGTATTCAAGTGTATGGCATTATAAATAATACAACCAGAGGGGAAAACGTTGCCAATTTTTTCTTAAGTTTTATTGTTACTCAGATATTTTAACCTATGTCTATGCTTTCTCATATGGAAAGTACAGACCTTCTTTAAAGTACATTGCAGGGGCTATCGCATATTGACAGATCTTCTACCTGATTCAGATGCATTCAGAGCCACAAATATTCCTGCTCAGTTATTGCGATCTAACAACATGTGGTAAGAAACCCCAATTTACTTAAATTTAATGTATGTATTAAAATTTATTAAATTAGTTCTCTTTCAATGGATTTCAGATGCAATTTGAAAGATTTACATGTTAAATATTTTAATATACAAACAAGAAAAGGATTTTTACTCTGTTTCAATTGAGCAATGAATTCGACGACAAAGAGTTGAAAAATCATCGTGTTGATTCCAATCTATTAAAAGCTGATAGATGTTGCTTTATCCAGCTGAAAATAGCTGTCTAGAATACGTACCTTAAAGAATTGGCAATGAAACCATTATGCCCAGTAATGGTTTACATGTAATCAAAAGGTGAGATTTGTAAGTGCAAATACACACAATTAAAGCTATCAGTGACAATTTCATATATCTGTGAATGATTGAACTTGTTTGAGAAGCAATAAAACAGAATTAAGATAAACAGAACATTTTCTGCATTTAGTGCTTTTCGTGTTTATTGTATAAAAGAACATAAAAGGTGAAGATAACGAACAGTGATCTCAAAAATCTACAAAAACAAAACAAATCTGTGAACAGGGCATAAAACACATGGGATCATATGTCTATTGGAGGAGTTAGCATCCCCTATTGAACGTCACACCCGCCGTGAGCCCTATATCAGGTAGACGGAACATATTGTAGTCAAATTTAGTATTTTAAAAAAAGGGTTTAATAATTGGTATATAACACGTCAGCCAAAATACGACCAAATGATAGGTTATGTGTGTTAACAAGGTTATTATAACGACCTAGAATTAACGAAATGCTGACTTTAGATGAGATTGTTAAAATCCTTGAAACATCAACTTATCTGCCAGTAGCTTGCCTCGGTTTAAAAATTGATCGTACTCTTGAGTATTGAATAAGATGGGAGACGTGAACACCATATGCAGGTGATAGCGGAATATTACTACATAAATAAGAAGAGTTGATAATTGAAAAGCTGTAGTAATCTCGTTTGTCATACAATTTAGTTATTATTTGGCCCTTATCGTCTATAACCAGTAAAATATCAAAGCATGAAACATACGTGGCAGACTCTGTGGGGTCCCTTATTTCAAGTTTACTTGGATATATCGAGTCGACATATGAATAGAAGTAACTTTTGTGAATTGATAAAACATTGTCGATATATCTGAATGTCGAGTTCAAGGCCACAGCAAGTGTTTTCTTCTTCTTGTATAGAAGTTTTTGAATAAAACCTGCTTTATAGGAGTATAAAAACAAGTCTGCTGATAAAGGAGCACAATAAGTGCCAATCGAAATTCCAACAGTTCCAACCGGTCTACGAAGACTACATAAACGTTGGCAATGAGAAACTCCAACATCCTTTTATATACAACTTCTAAGTACCTTTGTGTAGAATCAGAGTGATTTTAACAAAGTAATTTTGTAGATAATAACAAATCGCAAGATACGAAAGTTTTTGACTTCCATTTTTATTGAAGAAGCAGTTGTCTATAATATCAAAAAGCCTAGTTTTTAATTTATCATGAGAAATGGTTGTATAAAGTGTAGAAAATTCGTACGTTTTAATGTTATTAACATATTAGAAATATATAATATTTTAAATTTTCAAAAAGTTCTTTGGAGTTTTGAGAATCCACATCTGATGTACACCACTTCTAGAATATGCTGTAGCACAGTACATCTGAAATTTCTCGTTTACAACGGTTAATGCTTTTGTTAGGAGTAAAGATAGGGGCTTGGTAGATCATTTGCTGGACATGGCAATGTATCTTTGTAAGGATTTGTATGAAGGACAGATGATACAAACAATTTTTTTCTTTGGAGGAGACTTAATATCATGTCAAAGTCTTAGAAAAGTGGATAATTTTTTGAATTTTTTCTCCTTAGACTTGGAAAATTAAATACCTTCCGTATTTCCCCACTCTGAGAAAATTGGTTTTTTTTTTATTTAAATGAAAGTAAAAAAAATCAAACTTTACTAATCTTTTAATTAAGTTGGAGTTGTCATAAGTAGCTGATAATATTTTGAATGTGTTTTCTAGGTATCATAATTAATATAATTTTATTTTTGTTTTACAACTAATGGTTAGAAAAATTACATAATTACGATTGTTGTGAGATGATATCATCCGCGTTATACAAAACAATCGACTGCTTAATAATTCAGGCCTGTATCTTATCGTTTTCCTTAGCAACAGCGTTACCATTGTGTTTCTATCCTTTCAGGTACGGCTGTTCATCAGATACGGGGGCTTCATCTTTTGTCTTTGAGGAATTGGACAACGCTGGCCTCTTCCTTTTCTTCTGTTGTTATCGGAATGACATGTGTAAATACACAGTTTATACGCGATCGAAGCAGCATTGATCGGAGTGTATATAAAGCAGCAATCTGCCACTTATAAAAAAAAAATATCTGTGCTGCTGTGCCCGACAGAACACATTAGCCTTGTCGTGTAAAGAATTAATTCATTGAAGAAGGGAAGAGAAGAAGAGCCAAAAAGCAGCATTAATTTGTGACAAGCGTAGAAAGTTAGCAACACAGAAGGAATGGACAGTGCTTCAAATGAACAAACACATCAAAGGAAACCGCTGCTTAATCTCTCTCTGATAGATTTTATACCATTAGGATTTCCACACAAATTGACGGAATTTGTCACATATAGGAAAAAGAGAGTTCGTACCTTGATAAATCAATATACTTTTGTGAAGGGAGTTGAAAATTGACAGGTATCTAATCTTCAGATCAATGTATGGTCACGGTAACAACAATGTCCATAATTTCAGACTCACAGTGACCATTTAACGATGTTGGGGAGGCACTTGGAGTAATTTTCTCACTTTTTTCACTGCCATTCTCATTTGCAAGATGCAGGCAATATACGCCGGAGGGTCCACTCCTACCCCCTCCCCGCGTGTCCACAGAAAACAATTTGGGTACGGTAGACCTGTTATGCCAGGATATTCTTTTCCACACAAACAATCTTCTCCTTTGCATCATAAGAGTACGTCTAAAGATTCTGAGGACTCTTCGTCTAAGGAGACTAACTTCCGGGACTCTATACCGGCTATGTGTACGGCAGTGGCCTTTGTGTGCTTTATATGTAACATCATCATGCCAGGATTAGGTAAGATGTTCTTAACAATTTTCTTAGAAATCGTTTCCTTTAGCCCTATTGGAAAAGTCGAGCATGGTATTATTGTAATACAAATACCTCAGGATTATGTTTCAAAAATATATAGTTACAAAAACAATCGATTTTTTCTATATTTTTTAAAATTAAATACCCCTTTTATGATCAGAATTGATTGCGTTTTTTATTGTGTTTCTTACCTGCATTAAATTGGCAAAAACTTTGATGGCATTATTTACCAAATATAAACATGTTTTAAAGTACCCATGACATTAAAGTGCTTTTTGGTTCTATCCAATTAATTTATAATTAATAGCACGGAATTTGTCAGTATTGTATAAACCAATTCTGTGCACTTTTATCAAATCGGCTTTTTATTAAAACAATAGAATTTATGGATTTAGGTTGTACATGACATTTGAAGTGTATTTATAGCTCAAATAAGACGGAAATGGCATGCTTATAAATCTAAATTATTTAAACTAAAAGTATTTTTACTAGACATGTGCCAATCACGTGACATCCCTTATAATATAATCTGTCTGCTTAGCTGACACCGTTACTTATTTTTATAGCTATATCTCTTCATATTTAACAAATTGATTAAGTACGACCAGACGACAAGTTCCAGCACTTGGGAATTAAAAGAGCAATCACCTTGACTTCCCATTGTGTGTGATTAACTACTGGAAATGATGTAGTAGGAATGGATAATCGACCTCGCTGTGCATTATTAATGGTAACTGCCGATTTCTTAAGACGCTGTATGACCTATTTAGCCGTTATGTATATCGTTACATTCTGAGGATGCTGAGTGGTTCAGAGGTCTTTATGGGATTCATCGAGTAATTTAAACAGTAATTAATTTTCCTCGGTAAACATTACCCAAGGCAGTCAATTTCTCCCACAGAATTTGTATACAGAAAAGCCAGTTCAATTCTTAAAACAAGGAGTAGAAACTAGAAACTAAAAATTAGAAAAGGAATTGATGAATTAAAGTGCTGTAATTATATAAAACCTGGAATTCAACTAAGTCACACCATTTTTTAAATTTAGAAAATTACCTCTTACATGCATGTGTATACATGTAGCTGTTATGTTTTATGAATTTTTTTTACCAGTCAATATAAAACTGCTTTATTTCAATGCTTTCAAAACAATAAAGATCGAACACATTGTGGTATTTTTCCTGCTCATCCTCATTTTATCTATCACAAGGATGGTTGCATTTGAACACTATATCCCATTCTGCCTAGTTCTATTATCAATAAATGTACGACATTTAATTTATGCTGTTTATTTTATTTGCTTCTTATTTGGTCTTCTCTAGAAAGTTCAGCTATGCAACGATTATTCTTATACACCTATATTCTTGTAAACTTTTGAATTTATAATTAACTCACTCTTGCTTCATATACCATTGTTTGAAATTGAACTTTATCTGGTCTATGAAAATTGTTGCAGTAGATATTAGCTTCATTTACTTGAGTGAAAGGTTTTGTAAGGTATATAATTTGTACATGGTAATTAATTTTGCGTCCACTTGGAGCACTCTCTTGGCTATTTCCAATGGCTATTTCCATTCTTATGTCGATACGATATATCCTTGTGAGCTTGAGATAAAAGATACCACAGAGTCTGACACATCTGTTTCATATTTGGATATTTTACTTGAAAAAGACGTTAATGGTAATCTAACAACCAAGCTTTATGATAAACGTGATGACTTTAACTTTTCAATCGTCACTTCCCTTACTTATGCAGCAATATACCTTCATCACCTGCATACGGGGTATATATCTCTCAGTTGATTCGATACGCAAGAGCATGCTCTACGTATGTACAATTTCTAAAACGAGGTAAATTATTGACAAACAAGTTGATGAAACAAGATTATCAGCTGTCTCGTTTAAAGTCATCATTTCGTAAGTTCTATGGTCGATACAATGACCTTGTCAGCAAATACAATTTATCATTGAGTCAAATGCTGACTGACGTTTTTCATACAAATTGTTAGGCCATTATTTACACACTGAATTGTCGACGGATTTTTCCGTTATTTCCCGATCATGACAAGGCTGGTGTGACCGGTCGGCAGGGGATGCTCACTCCTCCATGGCACCTGATCCCATCTCTGATGTTTGGAGGTCCGTGTTTGCTCTGCTCCTATTTTGTATTGTTTGATGGACTTTTGAGCCTGAATACTGTTCGTTATCTTCATATATTTCATTGCTAAAAGGATTTGTTCAACATTTCTCATTTTGAAGAAAAATCAAACAATTATTCACTTATATAGTTATTGATATATAACGACAATACATTGCAGTTAAACTGAATGGTTTCGACATTTTTTAAGATACCCACTCCGCCATTAATTTTCTCACCCATAGTAGAAAATGACAACTGGGAACTAAAATTGATTTCTGTTTGTAAGCTGAGTATGTAACATCTGCTATTGATGTTCCAATGTTTAATCTACCGATAGTTTCATTATAAGTTACCAATACATACCAGACTAACGCATTTAGATATCGTTTTCTGAAGGTATTCACATTTGCTTAATGGAAATAGGCATTTTTTTAATGTTGACTTTAAGAGAATACATTGTTGATTTATATAAGTATTTATTGAAACTCTTTTCTATGACAACCCCGACTCTCTCTACTAATACATGTTTGTTAGAATATTGTGAATTATTCTTTTTTTTTTTTTTGTAATACAGATCAGTGTATCTAATTTTAACTTGCAATGAGGAATGGGTCTGGTATCTATAAATGTAATAACAAATAGCGCTCACTTTCTTCAGCAAAGTTTATGCTGATTGTCTTGGAAACTAAATATCCCAACAAGAGATGATCAGGTTATTTTTGTCTCACTTCATCTGTCACTTCTTGTTTTATAATCATTTAATCAGGAGAAGGGTATGAAGAATTATCAAAAGTACACTACAGTGGTGTAATATTTCAAGCAGTCTACTCTATCTGCAAACCAAAAAATCATACAGTATTTCAGATATTTAAATGCTATCATCATGATGAATTAGAAACGGGTGGAGGGTTAGCGCAACACATATGAAATAATGAGAATTTAAAATAGTAAATTGGCCTTTATCATAAATATGCAATATTAAATATGATAGTAGGGTGCTTAACATATTGCATCCTCAGAAATACGTCAAAAACAAGGCGTCTGAAAATGGAAATTATAATAAATCTAAATACTTTATATAAGGTAATTCTGTCAGTACGACGTGCTATTCTTCCTTCTAAACTTTGTGCAAAATACAAATACCTACAGGTGTAACGAAAATGGTCAGAAGGTAAACTGACATTTGTTACATGAAAACCCAAATTCTATCTTACTGCAAGTAGATAAATCAGTATACTTATATTGTTAATACATGTATTTAAAAAGAAAACTATCTTAAGGAAGGAAATATAAGCTCTTAAGACAACAACGGCAGTATGAAGAGTCTCATGAATATTTCTTCGAAATGTTGATAGAAATGGCCATAATTTAAGGTAAATTATTCCATATACTCGTATATATACATCCGAAGAGAGTTTTTGAAAAAGATTATTCTATGTTTTGGTAAAGGAAGATTATGATTATAGTTCAATTCCTAACGAAAGGAATAGGGGTGAGTACAATAAAAAGCCAAATTCAGGGCTCATGTAAAACTTTTATACAACACAACAAGCTTACATAAGGCAACTCTAACTTTTAGACATATAATCATTCTACCTCGTCAAATAAAAGTATCTTCTCTGTCAAGGGGTTCGAATCAAAATAAAGGTCATCCTATCCTCAAGTTCTAAATATCAAGAGTTAGGTAATTGAAAATGCTCACAAAAATGTCTCTGAATTTTCAAAGTAATGTGTTTCTAACACTTCAAAGAACCTTGAATCATATTCAGATGCATGAACTGAAAACTGTTTCACGAAAATATTTCAATTTCAAACTTAATTTTAAGACGTTTTTAATTAAATCTATCCTTCCTGGCCGAGGAGTGGATATCCTTAATATTTGAAAATGTTAGATTCTTTTAATGTTACTTTTATGCACATTATTCCAAACAGCAGCGCCAAAGTTCACTGAGGACAGAAGAAGAGCTTGCTGGTTCTTTATTGAAAAAAAACTAATCTTTATGGAATGTTGATAACTTTTAAGATTTACAAACTGAATCTGTATGTCAATTATACTAAAGACTTTGATCCTTCTGAACACCTTAAAGATTTCCGACTAAAACCCGTTCGATTTTTTTTTCTTAAAAAATCTATTTAGAACTGGATGTCTTTGCTTGCTACTGTTGTGTAAATGTTGCATGTTTAGAAAGATTTGATTTAAGGGGGCCGACTGGGGTTTTATTGTGTGAAAACTACTATAGAAAAACTCTTTAATTTTATTCCATATGTACCTTACATTGACTCCAGCATACATGCCAAGTTTAGTAAAAATCTACCGTCTGGTTATTTTTTAGGGACCATCTCAAAATACAGGTACATTTACTATAGGATAATATAGAAAAATACAATTTTTTCGCACTTCGGAGCAAATTATACAGATGGTACTATAGACTTTTTGCTCAAATCCTATTATTTGATGAATAATACTATATTATAGATTTTATGCAAGAAACACAAAATTCTACCGTCTGGTTTCCAGAGGGGATATCTCAAAATGTCAAAATTCATGATATTTTCCTGTTTTTTATTGAGTACTACAAAACATGAAAGATACCACAGATTTATATAAAAAAAAAAATAATAAAAGTGATTATGAGATTCTCAATTTTCTATGCTTAAAATTTCAAGAGCATTTATTTTATACTTTTTATTTCATGGCAGAATTAATGACCCCTCTTAAGGTCAAGATCTAGTAAATGAGTTTAGACTGTCTTTTTGATGCGAGATCCATTATGACGTCATAATCAATTTAAACTTACTTTTCCCCGTATTTTACGGCTGAAATAGAATTTTGTAGAAAATGAAGC